AGGAAAAGGAATTAGGGTTAAGGACATTGAAGAGACAAATGCCGATTCAGAAATGACAAAGGAAATGCGTCTTCTTGGTTCAAATGTTAGCCAGTTGACACGTGGCGGTCAAACCGAAGGACCGTTGGGCCCTGAGTCAGCAGCACGTGGCTAATGATGTGGCATGGGGAGAATTAATTATAGAATAGTAGTATTTTACTTTAATTGTTATTTTTGCTATTTAAGTGTTTTGGCATGTAGTGAGGAGAATATGTTAGTGGGCCCAAGTTTGTTATTTAACCTGAGTGAAACCAAGGGAAATGCAACAAGAATTACAACCAATTTCTCCCCTCTGTTTCTCGCTCTATCTCTCTCTACCTCTCTCTATCTCTATCTCTCTCTCTAGCTTCATCTTCTTCATGCTACTGTCTCCAAATTACAGAGTATGATCCATTAATAAATTACATTAATAGTAGGAATCGCAACAATTGGCACCAGAGCTTTCGATCCTCGGCATGGCTGACGGCACGCGACTCAAAGAGCTACAAGAAGCACAAAAACGGGTTGATCAAATTCTGCAGACTGAAACAATGAAAAGAGAAGCTGCAGAGCTAAAAATGCAAGACAAATTCACAGAAATTTCCAACAAATATGACCACCTCACTGACGCCCTGGCAGCAATTCAACTACAACTATCAAACATCACAAGGAACAACTCTGAAACAGAATCAATATTGGGTCCTTTTGGGGAAGGGGGCTCACAGAGATCATCCAAAACATCTTTCCAGCAAAAGGCAGTTCCAGAACAAAACCAGGCACCTATTTTCAGTCCACTACCTAAGGTAGACTTCCCTAAATTCGATGGGAATAACCCCAGGTCTTGGATTATTAAATGCAACAGCTACTTCAAGTTGGTGCAAAATATCCCAGAAAATCAAAAGGTACACCTAGCTTCCATGCATTTAGAAGGAAAAGCTGCTCTGTGGTATCAAAATTCTATCTCTAAGCAAGGTGAGCTCACTTGGACACAGTTTCTTGAAGTAGTGTCTGCCAGGTTTGAGGAGATTAGAGAATCTAAGGTTATTGCTGAGTTCAACAAGCTGAGACAAGTTGGGTCTTATAATGACTATGTTGATAAGTTTGAGGAATTAAGGGCATGTATGCTGATGATAAATGCATCTGACTATAGTGAGGAATATTTTGTGGCAAGCTTTGTAAGTGGATTAAGTGATGAATTACAGTCTTTCATCACTATGTTTGACCCAAAGACCCTGCAGCACACCATTGAGCTGGGGAGGAAGCAACTCCACACCCTAGATGCTATCTCCAAGAAGTTGAGGACAGGCAACAGACCACCATTTCAACCTCAACAGGTAGCAAGGAGAGGAGAACTCACCCCTAACAACTCACCAAAACCAGGGGGTTTAAAACCACCTGTCAAACTCCTCACCTCTGCAGAGATGACAGCAAGAAGGGAAAAGGGGCTTTGCTACAATTGTGATGAGCCTTACAGCTATGGTCACAGGTGTAAGAACAGGACCACCTATATGATTATGACTGAAGAAGAAGAATTGAATAGCATCAAAGAGGTTTCTGGTCAGCAAGAATGGGCAGAGGAACTGGAAGAAGTACATATGACCTTAAACTCTATCAGTGGTGAAGATGGGTTGACCACCATGAGAATGCAAGGTTTGTCAGGCAAAGAGAAACTCCACATTCTGATTGACACAGGGAGCACACTTAGTTTTATTCAGGAAAAGACAGCCAAGAGGCTAGGATGTGAGATTGTGGAGGCCAAACCTATATTAGTCAAAGTTGCTAATGGGCAGAGGATGGTGAGTTCACAGAGGGCCCATAACATCAAGTGGGTGATACAGGGGCATGAATTCACCTACTCTCCAAGGCTGCTGGCAACAGAGGGATGTGACCTCATATTAGGAGGAGATTGGCTGAAGTCATGCACTCCAGTGGAATTTGATTATGACCACATGACTGTTGCAGTGAAGGTTGGGAACAAGAGAGTTAGAATCAAGGCTCTCACTTCCAATATAGAGTGCAAACTCATTTCTGTGCCATCTTTGTACAAACTCACTCACCAGGAAATGCACTCTCAAGTGGAAGCAGTATACCTAGTCACAACTGTTAATGACACCTCTCAAGTTCCACCAGGGTTGGAAGGGTTATTAAATTCCTATACTGATGTGTTTCAAGAACCCACAGACCTGCCACCAGAGAGGGGAACTGAACACCAAATTATACTAAAACCTGGTAGCATGCCTAAGCAGCAGTTTCCCTACAGGACCTCTCATGATCACAAGGAGGAGATTGAGAAAATTATCACTGAAATGCTAAACTCTGGAGTGATACAGAACAGTAAAAGTCCATTTGCTGCCCCAGTCATACTAGTTAAGAAGAAGGATGGCACATGGAGACTTTGTGTTGATTACAGGTATTTAAATGACCTCACCATCAAACACAACTATCCTATTCCTATCATTGATGAGTTACTAGATGAACTATTTGGAGCCAGTTTTTTCTCCAAAATTGACCTAAGGGCAGGATATTTCCAGATTTTGGTTCAACCTGAACACAGGCCTTATACTGCCTTCAGAACCCATAGTGGTCACTATGAGTTCCTTGTCATGCCCTTTGGGCTCTGCAATGCTCCTGCCACCTTTCAATCTTTAATGAATCAGGTATTTAGGAAGCAATTGAGGAAATCAGTTTTGGTTTTCTTCGATGACATCTTAATCTACAGTCCTACTTGGGAAGAACACCTCAAACACTTAGAGGAAGTTCTGGAGTTGTTGAGGGAGCACCAATTGTTTGCCAAAATGAGTAAGTGCCACTTTGGGCAAAACCAGGTAGAATACCTAGGTCACATAATTACTCCAGATGGGGTTTCAACTGACCCTAGCAAGATAGAAAGTATGGTCAACTGGCCAGTTCCAACCACTGTGAAGCAGCTCAGGGGATTCTTGGGGCTTACAGGGTACTACAGGAAGTTTATAAGGAACTATGGCTTAATCAGCAGACCCCTCACTCTACTATTGAGGAAGGATGGATTCCAGTGGGGACCAGAAGCTGCAGAATCATTTCAGGCTTTAAAAAGAGCCATGACCTCAGCACCAGTCTTGGCATTACCTGATTTCACTAAGGTTTTTGTGCTAGAGACAGATGCCAGTGGCAGTGGGATAGGAGCTGTGCTGATGCAAGAAGGGAGGCCCTTAGCCTTCATGAGTAAAACACTATGTCCAAGAAATCAAGCCCTATCCATCTATGAGAGGGAATTCTTGGCTGTAGTTATGGCTGTTCAAAAATGGAAGCATTATTTGCAGGGAAGGAGGTTTGTAATAAGGACTGATCAACAATCCTTGAAATTCCTGATGGAACAGAAAATTAGCACACCAATGCAGCAGAAAGGAATGATCAAAATGCTGGGTTTGGACTATGAAATACAATACAGAAGGGGAACTGAAAATAGAGCAGCTGATGCTCTTTCCAGAAAAGAAGGAAATGTGGATTATCTATCAGCTATGTCAGTAGCTTTGCCTAAGTGGGTACAACAAGTTCTGGACAGTTATCATAAGGATGAGTTTACCAGTAAGGTCATTGAAGGTAAGTTGGTGGATCCTGACAGCTACCCTGATCACACTGTCACTAATGGGCTCCTAAGACATAAGGGCAAGTTGGTGATAGGCAATGACCCCCAACTGAGGAGGAACATCATAGCTGAGGCACATGATACAGCCTATGGGGGACACTCTGGCATCTATGGCACCTATTCTAGGCTACAAAGGACTTTCTACTGGCCAGGAATGAAAACTGACACTATTAATTGGGTCAAGGAGTGTGATGTTTGTGCAAGGAGTAAGCCTAACCATGGAGTATATCCTGGGCTTCTACAACCACTGCCCATTCCAGAGCAGGCTTGGAGCCATATCTCTATGGATTTTATAGAGGGACTTCCTAACTCTAAAGGGAAAACAGTTATTCTGGTGGTAGTGGACAGGTTCACAAAGTATGCCCATTTTCTAGCCCTATCTCATCCCTACACAGCTCAGACTGTAGCACAACTTTTCCTAGATCAAGTTTATAAGCTACATGGGCCACCAGTGAGTATTGTATCAGACAGGGATACAGTTTTTACAAGTGCCTTTTGGAAGGAATTGTTTAAGTTGATGGGGACCACTCTAGATATGGGATCAGCCTATCATCCCCAATCAGATGGCCAAACTGAACGGGTCAACCAATGTTTGGAGAACTACCTCAGATGCATGACCCACAGTCACCCTAAACTGTGGACTAACTGGCTACCACTAGCAGAATTCTGGTACAATTCAAACTATCATAGCAGCATCAAAATGTCACCATTTCAAGCATTATATGGGTACCAACCTCCCAACTCATCTCTAGACCAGTACTTGGGGGCACAAGACTCTGATGCAAAACAATACATGCAAAACAGACAGCTACTCACACAGGAGCTTAAAGAAAATTTACAGCAATCCCAGGCTCGTATGAAACTTTATGCAGACAAACACAGACAGGAGAGAACATTTGAGGTGGGGGACCTGGTTTACTTAAAACTCCAACCTTTTAGACAAAATTCAGTTTCTCTTCGAAAAAATCTCAAGTTATCGGCCAGGTACTTTGGGCCTTTTGCTATTCTAGAGAAAATTGGGGCTGTTGCTTATAGGTTGGATCTCCCAGAGGGCTCCAAAATTCATCCCATTTTCCATGTGTCACTACTTAAAAAACATATCGGGAAAAATTTCATACCTGAAAGCGAGCTACCCGCCATGGACACTGATGGAGGCTTCAAGGTCGCACCTTTAGCCGTTGAAGGACACCGGGTAATCCATCGCTACCAAAAGCCGGTTGAGCAGATCTTGGTCCGATGGGCTGGAACGGGCCGATACTCCACCTCTTGGGAGGATTTGGGTTTCATCCGCCGCAAGTTCGCCTCTTTCAATCCTTGTGGACAAGGATCTTTCGAACAAAGGGGAAATGTTACGGATTCAAGGTCTGAAATGGGGAAATCGAATTTGCAGATCGAAGGAAAAGGAATTAGGGTTA